CCAATTTTTATAAAATTATATTAATAATACGTAGTATTTATTTTAATGTTTTAATGTGTTTATTAGAAGAATTTTTAATATTATTTAGTTATTTTATATGAACTTTATTTTTATATAAAACATACGCTATTTTTACTAAAAGGGAGAAGTATAATTTATATTATTTATCTATTTTATGTGAGCTCTATTTTAATATAAAAATTATTTTTAATTAATATTTGGATTATTTTCTATAAGACAATTTTTATGAAAATATGTTTTTATCAAGAATTATGTTTATGTTATTTATTAAAAAGAGGAAATATGTTTAATTATTTTATGAGAATGGAAGGAGGGATGTAGTGGTCTTTCACTAAATATTATTATTATTATTTAATTTTAAATTTTAAGAAAGGAGGTGGTTAGGAGTTATTTTCGCGCTTCTCATTTTTTCTTTCTTTTCTACGCGTTGTGTTCTGAAGACTCAAGAAAACCATGAGGAGGAGGTCACCGGGGAATCGTACGCGCTTCATCTTCTACTCATCAAGGTAAGGGGGAGTGAGAAACCTCACTTGGGGTGTATGAATAACTGTTGCATAGCAGGATTAACCTTAATCCCTTGCTTGATGTATGCACCTGAAAACCTCAAATATGCATATCTGGAGGATAATAACAGACTCCCTGTCATTGTATCCACATCCCTAAATTCTTACCAAGAGGAAAAGCTGTTGCATGTGCTAAAAAAGCACAAGAAGGCCATATGATAGACGCTGGCTGACATTCCTGGTATTAGCCCATCCACATGCATGCACAAGATTCTTTTAGAGGATGGAGCCAAACCAGTGAGGCAACCACAAAGGAGGCTCAACCCGATGATTCTAGATTTGGTCAAAAAGGAAGCCACCAAGCTTCTACAAGCCGAGATCATATACCCCATTTCTAACAGTCATTGGGTGAGCCTCGTCCAAGTAGTTCCCAAGAAGACGTTATATACTGTGGTAAATAATGATAGAGACAAGTTGATTCCAACAAGAGTGCAAAATAGTTGGAGGGTCTACATTGATTATAGAAGATTGAATCAAGAAACATGCAAGGATCACTTCCCTCTACCCTTCATCGACCAAATGCTTGAGTGTCTAGCAAGTAAATCTCACTACTGTTTCCTTGATGGATTTTCTGGCTATTTCCATGTTCACATTGCTCTCAAGGATCAGGAAAAGACCATATTCACTGGCCCCTTTGGCACCTTTGCATATAGCAGGATGCTCTTTGGCCTATGCAACACCCCTAGTACATTCTAGCAGTGTATGGTGAGCATTTTTAGTGATTTTCTAGAGAGTTGCATGGAGGTGTTTATGGATGATTTCACTATTTATGGATCCTCATTTGATGCATGTTTGTATAGTCTGGATAGAGTTTTGCGTAGATGCATTGAGACTGATCTTGTTTTGAATTATGAAAAATGTCATTTTATGGTGCAACAAGGGATAGTCTTAGGTCATATGATCTCTAATCAAGGCATACAAGTAGATCCTGCCAAGATAGAAGTTATTTCACATTTGCCTTACCCCTCTTGTGTTCGAGAGGTTTGTTCTTTTCTTGGCCATGCAAGTTTTTACAGGAGATTCATCCAAGACTCCAGTAAGAAGGCCCTCTCACTGTCCAACTTGTTATAGAAGGATGTGGTGTTCCACATTGATGACAGGTGCAAGGAGGCTCTCGATTGCCTCAAGACTGCTTTGACCATCACCCCCATCATCCAAGCCCCTGACTGGACGGTCCCCTTTGAGTTGATGTGTGACGCGTCTAATTATGCATTGGGGGTTGTCCTCACACAAAAAGTTGATAAATTAACCAGGGTCATTTATTATGCTTCTAGGACTTTAGATGTTACACAGGTTAATTATACCACCACTGAAAAAGAACTCTTAGCCATTGTGTTTGCTTTTGATAAGTTTAGATCATATTTCCTTGGTTTTAGAGTTATTGTTTATATTGACCATGCAACTTTAAAGTACTTGTTAAAGAAGACCGACTCCAAGCCACGATTGATTAGATAGATGCTTCTACTCCAGGAGTTTGATTTGGAGATTCGTGATAGGAGTGGAGCATAAAATTTGGTGGCAGATCATCTAAGCATAATAGAGCAAGCTATTGACAGCTTTCCTATTCGTGATGATTTTCCTGATGAGCAGCTCTTGAATATCTCTATCTCTCACCTTACCTCTTGGGTTGCTAATATTGTTAATTACTTGGCTGCTTCTATTTTTTCACCATTAGCATCTAGATCTCAGATTGATAAACTTAAAAGTGATGCTAAATATTATTTTTGGGATAATCCATTTTTGTGGAAATTGTGTAGTGATTAGGTGATTAGGAGGTGCATTCTAGATCATGAGATTCAATCGTTCCTTAATTTTTGCCATGCTTCAACAGTGGGTGGCCATCTTGGCTCCCAAAGAAAAACAAGGAAGGTACTTGACTCTGTATTTTACTGGTCTACCATCTTCAAGGATGCGTGGAGGATTTGTAGCACATGTGAGGAGTGCCAAAGAGCAGGAGGTTCCATTACTTGGAGACAGCAGATGCCTCAGCAACCTATGTTTGTCTGTGAGGCTTTTGATGTCTGGGGTATTGATTTCATGGGCCCTTTCCCTATTTCTTTTGGTTTCTCTTACATATTGCTTACTGTTGATTATGTTTCCAAGTGGGTGGAGGCTAAGGCCACTAGGACTAATGATGCTCGGGTTGTTGTAGATTTTGTTAGATCTCATATTTTTTGCAGGTTTGGCATACGCAGAGCTATTGTTAATGACTAGGGCACCCACTTTTGCAATAGATCCATGCAAGCTATGCTCCGAAAGTATGGGGTCGTCCATAGAGTTTTTACTCCTTATCACCGTTAGACTAATGGGCAAGCTGAGGTTTCAAATAGAGAGATTAAGAGGATCTTGGAAAAGATGGTGCAACCTAACAGGAAGGATTGGAGTCGTAGACTTGAGGATGCTCTTTGGGCACATAGGACAGCCTACAAGGCACCTATAGGGATATCTCCCTATTAGGTTGTTTTTGGCAAGGCATTTCACCTACCAGTTGAGATAGAGCACCATGCATATTGGGCTATGAAGACTTGTAACTTGGCTCTTGACCAAGCTGAAGAGGAAAGGAAGCTCTAACTGAATGAGCTTGATGAAATCCGCTTAGAGGCTTATGAGAAATCTAAGTTCTACAAAGAAAAGACCAAGAGATTCCATGATAGCTTGATAGCTAGGAAGTAGTTTCTTGTTGGGCAGAAAGTGCTGCTATTTAACTCTAGACTTAAGCTCATGGCTTGTAAGATTTGTTCTAAGTGGATTGGTCCCTTTTTGGTTACTAAGGTTTTTTCCTTATGGTGTTATAGAAATCAGGAGCGAATCCTCCTATAAGAGCTTCACGGTGAATGGTCATCGCCTCAAGCATTTTCATGAGAGTCCCTCACTTGTGGATGTCACTATGGAAGATTGCACACTAGAGGAGCCCACTATTGATCCACCATGATTAGGGAGTTTCTTATTCTCTCTTCTACTCTTTTTTCTTAAATGTCATATTTGGTTGATTGTGATGATTGTGCTTTCATTAAGGATAATGTTTGATTTAAGTGTGGGGGAGTGGTTTAGGAGTAGGATTTCCTTTTCAAATAAATGGTTTTCTTTTTCATTGAATTGTTAGATTTGTATGAGTTTTTGGACATTTCCTTGCTACTTTGTGGATTGAATATTTGTGAACTCTCTTCATATGTCAAGTTGGTTTTGATGAGTAAGAGGTTGGATTGATTGTGACACCTACCCTTGGTGAGATTGTGAGCCTTGATTTGGAAAGATAATTATTCTCTCTCTTGTGTGATTTCACTCATGATGCTTGTACTGTAGAACTTGGCTTGACTCTTTTTGACACAACTTGATCCACATGCATGTATTGAAGTGATTTAGGCAATTGATTTCTGTACTATCCGTACCGCTATGCCGAGCTCGAGCTCGGCATCTCAGCGCGGCGTGACCTCGAACACGCTCTAGGCCACGTCAGCTCGACATCCAAATAGGTCATAAACTGATCTCAGGCCCAAGGCCCATCAAAACCCTAAATTCACACAAAGGTACGTGCATTACTTATACGAGACTCATACACCCACAAACACTAACTTTAGCATCGGAGTCTCTTTGGCAGGTACCACCCCCGCCTTGGAATAGCAAGCATACCCAGTGAAGGAGGCTCACTGATCTTACCCAGCAGATCGTCCCCTACGACCGATCTCCGGTAAGAACATTTGGCGCCCACCGTGGGGCCGATCAAGACGACTCTTATCGGCCACGCTTGTGGTTTTCACTCGAAGCCATAGTAGACGCGCAACAGACGACGCATATCACACGACAAGTATGGACAACGAAGCAACATTGAGGAGACTAATCGAACAGGTTGAGCAAATGCGGTAGCAACACACCGTCGATCTGCAAAATATCCGTGCCAAGCACGAAACTGACCTAGCGGCGCTGCGTACCGCAAACGAGGCTGACCTGGCGACGTTGCACGCCGAGAACGAGTGCTTTCGCGCTCAGCTTCCTCGACGCCCTTCTGATCAACCCCCTCAACCAGGTAGTCAACACGAAGAGGAGGGGCACTCGATCTCTCAACCCCCAACCGCGCCTAGGGCACCGACTCCCCGGCCTGCCACACATCGGTCTCACGCACTGACGAACAGGTCGGCCCATGAAGTCAGTAATGCTCCTGCCTAGGCTCCTGGAAATCGGGCGAGCATTCGTCGCCACCCCTTTGTGGACGGCATCATGGAGATACCTCTGCCTTTTGGATGGAAGCCCCTCCACATCGACCGCTACGATGGCACAACGGATCCAGACGAGCACATCGACTAATACGTCACGCAGGTAAACCTATACACTAATGACGATGCTGTTCTGTGTAGGGTTTTTCCAACCTCGCTTAAGGGTGCAGCGCTCGCTTGGTATACCCAATTGCCACTAGGATAGATGGACAGCTTTGACACCCTTGTCAGATGGTTTACGGTGCAGTACGCAACAAGCCAGCCTCATCACATCACGTCAGCTGCTCTAGCCAGTCTTAGACAGAGCGACGACGAGCCACTGAGGACGTTCATGGAGCGTTTTGCCAGCATCTCGGTCAAGATTCAAAATTTGAATCCCGAGGTTGCCCTGCATGCCACGCTTATGGTACTCAAGCCAGGACCGTTTATCGACAGTCTGTGTCGGCGACCCCCTATTGACATGGACGAACTCCGCGCTCGAGCTGCAGGTTACATTCAGATGGAAGAGCACTCTACTTTTCATGACCAGGTCCAAGGTAAATCGCAGACAAAGTCGGTCCAAGGCCACAAAGATAAGGTGAAGGTCACCAACGACAGTCAATTCAAGAGGACTGCCAAGACAAATAGGGGGTAGATACGACTTCTACACTCCCCTGAATGCACCTCGAGTACACATCCTAGAGGAGGCCAGCAATAGCAACCTGCTCACCCTGCCACCACTAGGACACAACCCCAACAGTGCGGACAAATCTAAGCACTACCGATATCACAGGAATCATGGCCATACAACCGAAGAATGTCGTACGCTCAAGGACCGAATAGAGGAGCTCATCCAGGCGGGACACCTCGGACAATACGTCCAACGGCAGCAGGACCACCAAGGAGGCTACAACGGGCGAGGACGAGGGCGAGGCCGCGGTGCAGGCACCCGCATAGACCAACCCTCTGGATCCCAGCAAAACACTGGTGGCAGAGTACAGGCCGAGGTAAGTCAGGAAACAGGGTCGGCCCCCTTGCGGGGTGTCATCAACACAATTGCAGGTGGTTTCCTGTTGCATAGCAGGATTAACCTTAATCCCTTGCTTGATGTATGCCTATAGGAACAAGCACTTTATGAAAGTTTTTTGTTTTGCTTTCTGATTGTTCTATTGCGTTCCTTATGTGATTATGAGTGTGAATATGCATTCAATTTCGAGAATAGATAAATTTTAATATGAATTAAAATGCTCTATGGGTTCCTATGGGAAACCCTGTGAGAAACAGACAAATTTTGAATATTTTTTGTTTTGGCTTTTGAGTTTTCTATTATGTTCCTTGATGATTATTGAGTATGAATGTATGTTCAATTTTAAGTTTGAATATGTTTTGATATGAATTAGAGTGCTCCATGGGTTTCTACAAGAAACCCTATGAGAAATAGACAAATTTTGAATGTTTTATGTTTTGGCTTATGATTTTTTTTTTGTATTCCCTGATGATTATTGAGCATGAATGTATGCTTAATTTTGAGTTTCAATATGTTTTGATATGGATTAGAATGCTCTATGGGTTCCTATGGGAAACCCTGTGAGAAATAGACAAATTTTGAATGTTTTCTGTTTTGGCTTTTGAGTTTTCTACTGTATTCCCTGATGATTACTGAGCATGAATGTATATTTAATTTTGAGTTTGAATATGTTTTGATAGAGATTAGAGTGCTCTTTGGGTTCCTACAGGAAACCCTACGAGAAACAGGCAAAAAATGAACTTTTTTGTTTTGATGTTTGAGTTTTCTATTGTATTCCTTGATGTTTGCTAAGTGTGAATGTGTTTAATTTCAAAAACAAATAATTTTTAAGCCATGTTTGAAGGTGCTAATGGTGTGAGAACTGCCTTATTATTGTGTTAATGCATAGTGATGTGTTTTTATGAGCATGATGAGGGTGAGAATCTCTTATATGTGACCTTGTGACTATGAGTATGAGAAATGTGACATGTGAACAATTGACATGAGACCTGATGTGATATGATAAGTGAAATGTTGAGTCCATGAGTTTGTGAATGTGTGACATGCATCATATGCATTTATATAATGGGGTATGATATGGAGTACATCGTTAGGTAAGGCCCTCTAAGTGTGAAACATCTTGGAGAAGTCCTAGGGGATAGCGCGGTTTGGAAGGCCTAGTTATGCCCGTGTGTGTGCATGGAAAGTATCTTGTGCGGCTTCGCTATCCTGACGAGACCCTAGCAATACATTCTTCTAGTTGAGAGTGGGCGGTTGAGCCGACATGTACTCCTTGACTACTCCAGGTATGTTGCTTCGGTAGCATACCACGTGATATGTGATTATGAGACACGTGACTGGTGTCACATGCATGCATTTATGAGTCGAGTCCATGACATCATTGTATGATAAATGAATGTGCATGTGGTATTGATTGTGTATGTGTATTGCTATTTTTACTAAAAGGGAGAAGTATAATTTATATTATTTATCTATTTTATGTGAGCTCTATTTTAATATAAAAATTATTTTTAATTAATATTTGGATTATTTTCTATAAGACAATTTTTATGAAAATATGTTTTTATCAAGAATTATGTTTATGTTATTTATTAAAAAGAGGAAATATGTTTAATTATTTTATGAGAATGGAAGGAGGGATGTAGTGGTCTTTCACTAAATATTATTATTATTATTTAATTTTAAATTTTAAGAAAGGAGGTGGTTAGGAGTTATTTTCGCGCTTCTCATTTTTTCTTTCTTTTCTACGCGTTGTGTTCTGAAGACTCAAGAAAACCATGAGGAGGAGGTCACCGGGGAATCGTACGCGCTTCATCTTCTACTCATCAAGGTAAGGGGGAGTGAGAAACCTCACTTGGGGTGTATGAATAACTGTTGCATAGCAGGATTAACCTTAATCCCTTGCTTGATGTATGCCTATAGGAACAAGCACTTTATGAAAGTTTTTTGTTTTGCTTTCTGATTGTTCTATTGCGTTCCTTATGTGATTATGAGTGTGAATATGCATTCAATTTCGAGAATAGATAATTACAATATATGTGTTGGGGTAGTAAGGGTGTCACAGTTTCGCAGGGGGAGGCTCTAGCAGCTCGGCATGAAAACGACATTTGCGCAACATCAACAATATCCACTCCACTACCCCAGCCTCGCACCAAAGCACACCACCGATAACTTTCACCGACGATGATTACACCGGCGTCTGTCCAAACCAGGATGATCCAATAGTCATCGCTGTGGAGGTCGCCAACTGGGAGGTCCATAAGACATTGATCGACCAAGGTAGCTCGGCGGATGTCCTATACTGGCAGACGTCCTATACTGGTTGACGTTCCTCAGGTTAGACATCCCTCACCCCCTCATCTAACCTCACATAGAACCCCTAGTCGGTTTTGCAGGAGAGCGAGTGCACACTCGCGGGTATGTAGACCTGCTGACAACCTTCGGGACCCCTCCCGACTCAAGGCAGATTATGGTCCGATACCTCCTCATTGAAGCCAACACGTCTTACAATATAATTATTGGGAGGCCGACGTTGAACTAGCTCGGGGCAATAGTGTCTACCCCGCACCTCACCATGAAATTCCCAGGAAGTGGTGGCAAGATTATTTTCGTTAAGGCAAACCAGAAGACAGCTCGGCAGTCCTACGCCGAAAGCCTGAAAGTCTCGTCATTCGGCGAGCATTGCAAAAGTGACCCTCCCACAGTGGCTCACATCACCCATGTGGACATCACTGACCTAGATCTGAGGTCAGACTCTCATGATGAACGGCCGAGTCCCATCGACGAGCTCGATGACCTCCAGATCGGAAAGCTCCCTGGGCAGTGCACAAAAATTAGCAGGCAGCTGAACCCGGAGTTATGGCGACAACTCGAAGTCGAGATCTCCAAGAAGGCCGACCTCTTTGCGTGGTCCAACGCCGACATGCCAGGTATAGACGCTAAATTTATCTGTCACAGGCTGACAGTTCACAAGAAGGCAAGGCTGGTGGCCCAAAGGAAGAGGAAGGTTGGCAGTGAAAGGCGAGAGGCCATCATTACCGAGACGCAAAAGCTACTGAATGTAGGCTTCATCCGTGAGGTCAGATACACCAAGTGGCTGGCAAACGTGGTTCTTGTGAAGAAGAGCTCGGGGAAGTGGCGCATGTGCGTCGACTACACTGATCTGAACAAGGCATGCCCCAAGGGCTCGTATCCATTGCCGAGCATCGACAGACTGGTTGATGGAGCATCCGGGCACGCTCTCCTCAGCTTCCTTGACGCTTACTCCGGGTACAACCAGATCATGATGTACCCACCAGACGAGGTGCATACATCGTTCATCACTGACCACGCCAACTTTTGTTACCACGCAAGGGCCACTTACTAGCGGCTGATGGACAAAGTTTTCCACCAACAGATCGGGTGAAATATGGAGGTCTACGTCGACGACATGGTGGTCAAAACTACCTCGACCGAAGGTCATGCTGCCGAACTGGCCGAGGTGTTCAGCCAGATCAGAAAGCACAACATGCGCCTTAACCCGGGAAAGTGCGTCTTCGGCGTCCAGGGAGGTAAATTCTTGATTTTATGATTACTAGCAGGGGGATAGAGGCCGACCTGGAGAAGTGCAAAGCCATAATCCAGATACAGAGCCCTCAAATCGTGAAAGACGTCCAGCTCCTGGCGGGAAGGTTGGTCTCCCTTTCCCGTTTTATCCCCAGGTTGGCGGAGAAGGCAGGGCCCATCTTCACCCTGTTACGAAAGCCAAAGAATTTCGAGTGGACAGACCAATGCGAAGAGGCTTTCAAGAGCTTCAAAGCCTTCCTCACAACTCCACCAATCCAGAGGACGGATCACAAAGCCGACCTCCTCCTCTATTTGGTCGTGGCAGAAGGTGCAATCAGCGCAGTGATAGTACAAGAGCACCAGAAAGTGCAGACGCCGATCTACTTTATCAACTGAGTGCTGCAAGACACGGAGAAACGGTACCAGATGATTGAGAAGCTGGCACTGGCACTTGTCACTGCGGCTTGGCATCTCTGACCTTACTTTCAAAGCCACCAGGTGGTCGTCAAAACCGACTACCCAATCAGACAAATCTTGCACAAGCCAGAGCTCGCCGGACGAATGATATCGTGATCAATAGACTTGTCCGAGTTTGGCATCAAATATGAAAGTCGCGGCCCCCTCAAAGCACAATGCCTGCCAGACTTCGTGGCCGAACTAACTCCAACCTCGGCCGACGAACAACAGGTATGGATCTTACATGTTGATGGGTCCTCCAATTCTAAGGGCGATGGTGCAGGTATTATTCTGGAGGGTCCAAATCAAGTCACCTTGAGCAATCTCTCAAGTTTGGCTTCAAAGTGACAAACAACCAAGCGGAGTACGAAGCACTTCTCGCAGGGCTAAGGTTAGCTCACGATCTTGGAGCAAGGAGAGTGAGTTGCAACAACGACTCAAAACTCATGGTAGAGCAGCTCAGTGGGACATACCAAGCCAAGGATGTTCTCCCGCAACGGTATTTCCACGTGGCATCACGGCAGATCTCGTCCTTCGACGAGTTCACTATACATCATGTACCACGAGAGAAAAATACCAGAGCTGACCTCCTATCAAAGCTCGCTCGTACCAAACACCCTAGACAA